ATTCCTTCGTACAAAAAAAAAATCGAAAAAAAATTGCTTATATTTGGAATTGTAAAGCTCGGTGGCCTGAGCTGTCGCGAGCATCTGTTCCGATCCGTTCTCCAACGATTGGATCCAATGGAATCGCAGGACGATTGTACTTGAACGCTCGTTCCCTCGGTTGTGCTTCGCGCACGTCGTTCCCGCATTTAATGCATTTAAGTCGTTCGTCGCATAAATCGCGTTTCCCATCCTGTGCTGCGCACACCGCGATCATTCATCGGTGCAGCGCGGCTTGATTCTACATATATATCGGATTAGCGACGATATATCTGTGATTCGACTTGCATGCGTCGAAAGCGTCGACACGAAATGAGCGAAATCGATGTTCCCTTGTTTCTAATAACCAGAGATATTGAGAGAAACTGCGGAAAGCAATTTTAAAGAATTTGATCTCTTTATGCCAGAAAATACGATTTGTTCGGATAATTTTTAAATATAATATTACCCCTTTTTTCTTCTTATCGAAAAAATTGGAAAATAGCCAAAAGCATCAATTGGAAATATTTATCCTCTCATATAGAAAGAAATACGATATGAATATTATGTATCAGATATTTCTGTCTCTTTTATTGAAATGGAAATAAATTGTACATTATTAAAAAAACACAGATTCAGATAAACTTGCGACAAATTAATAAATATATGTAAAATAAAAAAATTAATTGCAAAATAAAAATTTTAGATTTATGTCACAAAATAAATTTTATATTTCAATTGAATGTAAAAGAAAATCTAGCAATATTGTATTCTTCAATATTTGTTATCAAAAAATTCATTTTCGAAAATTCTGTATTTTTTGCACAATTATATGCGATCGTATAACTCTGATAATTAAACTGATAACTTGAAATATAAAAATGGATGGTCGGATTATCTCGCTGCGAAATTAACTACGTTCAGCAGTTTATGACTTCGACATCGTGTGAACGTAATCGATGAATATTAGCGATTAGTTATGGGCAGCAGCAGTTATGCAAAATCAGGACCGTTACATCGTTACAGTTAGAATAAAATCAAATAAAGAGTGCTCCATGTTTCTCTCATACATTTTGCATCTCAGGGATAAAAATAGCCCGATTCTCGAGTGACTTAACAACTTTTCCAAAATGTTACGTGGGCATGTACAGAAAAATCCCAAACGCTCATCTGACGTGATACGCCTACTCGCTGGACGTAAAAAATATCTCATCGCGGAAAAATATCTCGCTCTGTAACGGATCGCGATGTGTCCGTTTCGATCGGATCGTCGGAAACACGCGTATCGTTGCCGTATCACTGGTCGCGTTCGCGTAATAAACGTGCAATCGCAATTTTTGAATACCAAATCTGGTTTGTTTTAAATCTGGAACTTAAAAATTTTAGCGTACACGAAATGGTAAATATCACGAGATCTCGCGATTTTTACTCGCAAATTCGAGGGAATTAGCGATGAAAGTCTTTGCGAGAAAAGACTTCACCAAGATGGAAGACGTGAATCGGTACGTTCCCACGGAATCGAAGAGAGTTTATATCCAGCCAATCATACGCTATTGTCATTCAACAATTCCGCCGTCCTTATTGAACGAGATCATTGTTACACTGATATCCAGAGTATTCACCGGCAAACAAAGAGTAATTAGCTGCAATATGGCTGCCGATTTAAGCCGAGCTGGTAGCCGTCATATTCACGAGGATGAGTAATGGCCGTTGCGCATTGATTTCTCGCCCGGTTGACAAATTTCCATTTCAAAGATCTCTCAATCGCTTGTCTCTATCGGCTTTCTTCGTGTCAAGATCATCAATGATGGATTAGACGTTAAAAAACAAATATAACAAAAGGTTACGTTTTTTGTTTTCATTTCTTCTCGTTTTTCTTTACATCTCGTCTACTTTATTTTACTTCAGCTATTATTCTACCTCTTATCTCACACAATTTTATACCCTGGTTGCTTTCATCATTTAAATTATAATTCTCTTGTTTTAAATAAAACATAATTGAAATTAATTATATATATCATTATTATGTGGCTGAAATTAATTAAATAGACAATAATTAGTCCGTCTATAAATAAATTATAAAAATTGTCTAAATGATATGGATATATCGCTAATAGATGTGGATCTTAGAGGTCTCTGTTTTGCATGTCTAGAATTGCGAGAAGTGCCGATTCATCGTTTTCGGCACGAATCTACCATTTGTCATCTCGCGGCTTATGGCTGCTCATTATCCGTCAGCTCACGCGACTTTCTACAGACGATTTCGCGTCGCGTTATTAGCCCCATCTTGTCGCATCTCTTCCCTCTTTTCTTCCTCAATTCTTTTCCTCGATAAAAACGTCTCGACGGCGACTCATCGATCACTTTGAGTCCGGCGCGAGTTTAAGAGAGACGTTTCCGACCACGTGTCGTCTCATCGTGGCGACACTTATTCGCTGACATTGATGTAAAGCACTTATGCCCGACACCAGTACCCCTCCACCAGTTTCCCCAAAGTGCATCTTCGAATAACCGTATCCCGGTACACTTTTTTACGAGAATTCTAAGATACGTATTTCGTACGACGACTTCAATATCTCTAATTGATGGCTCATAGCGGAGAAAGAAATTGTACGATGCCTTGCGACTTCAGTCTTATCTACCGCTTATAATTCGCATATACATTCGCATATTCGCAGCATACGCGGCCGCAGCGGGTGTACTTTTAATTGGGCACATATGTGCCTAATTAAAATTTTGCCTCGAGTTTCTGAAACTGAGTGTCGGCATAAAGCGGCCTTTAAACGTAAACGCGCAGGGAGCAACACACAGAGACGTTTTTCATTGTGTCTGGAGTCGCATCATCGCGGTAAGCGTCCGTTTGGCTATCCGGACAAAGACTAATTGCCACGGGACAGAGACTCCGAGACTACCGTCTCCCGATCTCTCGGTCAAAGAGTCCAGAGATCGTGAGTATCCCGCCGTCACGACACGTGCTGTCGTACACGCGCGTGTCCCACGATAACACGCGACGCATAAATTACTCTTCTCGCACACGGGTCGATCGATAACTCGGCGGAACGCAATATCGTTTCTCTCTATTCCCTCTTAAATGGACTCCATCCCACACTTATCATCCCGATTGCCTACAGAATGTTTTGCGAAGGTGTTCCGCGAATTGTCGCGCGAAAATACTTTCACATTTTTTTTTTGCATCGCGAGCAAAAACATTGTTCTCTCTTCGAGCACTTTCTACCTACGTGGCCCAATTATACGATTTAATTAAAAATGTAAAGAGCGTCACGCTCTGTAGAGGATTAGATCTAATATCTGAGTACCGATGTTCCGAGTAGCGTGGTGAATGATAAACAGTAGCATAACCATGAGGAAAGAACGTCGTTCGGAATAGTCGATCGACAATTATTCCGATATGTTATATTCTTGAAACAATATATTGTTACTTGGCGATGAAATAATGCTGTGTTTGAGCAAGGGTTATAAGAGTAACATACGGAAATCTACATTGATTAATTCGCAATCACGTAGATAATTATCCCTTTCGCGTTTACGTGCCCCAATACGCAATACGTATAAATCAACCGACATGAATTCATCGTCACTTTTTTTTCTCGTCTGGTTATTTGCAAAATCGTTTGTCCATATCTTAAGGACGAAATCAGAGAGTACCAAAACATAATGCTGTTTGGAGGATAAACACTGATCCGAATAGCCATTATCGCGCAATATCAGAGTTCTTCGACAAGCCCGAAGTTCCTCGTGTTCTCGAGGGAAAAATTTCATCCACCGCAGGTCCGTCCTTGCGAAAAATGCAATTCGGAATAAAGCGCATTGTTTGTTCCCTCTCTAATTGCGCGACGTGGATTTCGCGGCGCGATATAAATTCTCATCGTGTAATAAAACAGCGCGTATTCACGGCGTTTTTCGCGCGGGGAATTTGTATTATGGTTAAAAAATTAATGTCTCGACAAGGCAGACTCTCTCTCTCTCTCTC